TAAAAGGTCTTATTTATGTAATTTTAAACATTCACTCCTATACTTGGAATTTTACTCCATTTATCTCTTGTAATTTTGTAATCTTTATTTTTTTATGGTATTAACAAATTTTCCACTTACTTTATTAATCAATTGATTTGTAGTAGTTACTTTTATTTTTCTCTCCTCTACAAAAATTTCAACCACACACATTTTACTTTATTATTTTTTGCTTGGTATTCATCCTTAGAGGAAAATCGAGGCAATTATATTTTGGTCTGAAGCAACAAAAACAATTAAACATCAAATTTATCTATTTTACATTGAAATATTTTACGGATTACTTTTTAAGAGAATGTTTGACTTTTTAAATTCTTCGCAAATACGAGCTTAGCGAAAAAATGGGTTATGTAGAAATAAAAGTAAGGACTTAATAATAAGGGAAAAAATATAAATACCCCAAATTTTGAAGGGATGCGAGATAAGTAACTCAAACTTGCATATGTAATTTAAATATTCCAAACTTTATATAAAAATTTTTGTTAGCACCAGAGTCATATAGTATTTCTTTCAAAAATGTTACTTTTTTTTGTTAATTTCAGAATTTAAAATATTTTAACATTCATGAAGATACAATCAACATTCTAAAGTACTTCCATTGTAAAATAAATAGTACACCCCCCACTCTATATAGTTGCAACATTTTTAATTTGTTATTTTAAATTACGCAATTAACATCATAAATTTATATTTTTAGAATAAATAATCAATGACCATGATGTTAAAATATATTTTATAAAAAAATTGGAATATTTAAATTAGATATGAAAGTTTAGAGTGTTTACCTCACTCGGATTCATAGTTTGGGGACTTGGGGTTATTTTAATTGTTTTTATCTGATAATAGAAAAGTTTAATGAGTGATTATATTGCAGTTGCTTAAATATAAAACAATTAAAATTGACTAAATGAATAAATCTAAATCGATGGAAATTAAAGCTTGTGGATAGAAAGAATTGTGATTAGTTTATGAAATACGTAAAGGGGGTGTTTGGCAAATGGCTGTTAATTGTTGGTTGTTGGCTGTTGGCCGATTGCTTTAGCTGATTGAATGTTGGGAAAAGGTGCAAATAGGCCCATGTACTAACCAAAAAAGGTCAAATAAGCCCTTATTTAGGAGACTTTGTCCGGCCGTCGTCATTCGGGGTGGTTCCCGGTGAAATTTTTTGATGATTTTTTGTGAGCATCTTATTCATCAAGTCTAGTTTACTCATACCAAATTTCAGCTAAAACTTGAATCGGGAAGGCATTCAAATGAATTCTTGAAGATAACTGTGCTTCTAACTGCGTAGTTATTTTCAAGAATTCATTTGAATGCCTTCCCGATTGAAGTTTTAGCTGAAATTTGGTATGAGTAAACTAGACTTAATGAATAAGTTGCTCAAAAAATTTCATCAAAAAAATCTACTGGGAACCACCCTAACTGGCGACGTCCGGACAAAGCCTCCTAAATAAGGGCTTATTTGACCTTTTTTGGTTAGTACATGGGCCTATTTGCACCTTTTCCCATTGATGTTAAATACTCAAACAGCCGATGTTAAACGATGGGTTATTCGGGGAGGATCTAGCTCCGGGGGTGGAGGTTATGATGGCGGGAATGGCGGAGATACTCACATGGGCGACGGGAGCTTTGGAGGCGGTTTTGGAGGTGGCTACTATGGCGGCGAAGGTGGGCACTAGGGTCAGTGCTTGGACTGAGAAGGGGGGAGACTTTTCATGGTATATAATTTTATTTTCTACCATTTACTATGCATGGATTTTCTTTTACTCTTTGTAAAAAAAATGAGTGAGTTAGGGAGGATGGAAAAACAAAAAGAGATGCTAGGATGAAAACCTGAAAAGGCTCCTAGGCAAAATGAGAGATATGACAGAAATATTTGTTGTATGCAGGACCTCATTTGATCTCTTAGGAGAAAGAGGAGAAGAAGAAAAGAAGAAGAAAAGAAGAAGAGAAGAAGAACAAGAGGCAAGAAGATGAAGCATAGAAGATCACAAAACCCAAGAGAGAATGTTTTAAAAACTCATTTTTATTCCTTGGTGATCTTAGTTTCTGTCTTTCTTGAATTCATGGAAAACTCTTAAACTGTTTGGAACATTTTACTTTACTCGAGATCGAGTAAAGAACTATGTGTGGGGGAGTTGATACGCTTGTAATTTCCGTATGTATGTTTACGTTTTTAGTTATTTTTAGTTGTTTAATATTTCGGAAATTACACACTTTTGGTGTAATAGTTATGTTTGTAAAATAGCTGTAATATGTTTACATTAGGTTTATTCTGAGCTTAAACAGGTCCAAGATCAATCAAATGATCATTGGTGAAGGAAGGTGCAAGAGTACAAGACAAAAAGGAGGCAAAATCCTGATTTTTGACCTGTACCCAGTGGAGTATACCATGTACTCGATCAGGTACTAACTGGACTTTCAATCAGATCAATCAGGAGACAAAGTGGTGTGCAGGGGAAGATTTGGCCACGATCAGTTGTCATACCCGATCGGGTATGCCTTTTATTTCCACTATGAAATCGATCGAGTATGGCTCAAATTTACACTTTTTACACATACTCGATCGGGTACCCTATGTGTACTCGATCGGGTACCCGAACTGCACTCCCAAAAAAACCTATAAATACACCCTCTTCCCTTCACAATTAGACACCAATTCCTTTACACTTCTAAGCTCAGTTTAGAATAACATTTCTTTATATTTTTCTAGCATGTTTAGTCTCCAAATGAGGAGCTAAACTTCCATTTCTTGGTGTTGCTCTTGAAGCTTGTTGATTATTAAAGTTGTGAGTTATTTTCTTAACTTCTTTCCTTGAATATTAATTCTTCCTTTAAATACTATTTCTATATCAATGTTGGGGAGTGTTACTAAGATGACAATTAGTTAACATATTAACATTAGTTATAGTAATAGTTATTTCTTCCTCTATGTTAATATTGAAGAGTGTTACTAAGATGACAATTAGTTAACATCTTGATATTAACTATAGTAGGATTCATCTTCTTTAATATTCTTTCTTGCGTATCAATTAATCCCTATTCATATTTCATATTAATATTTGAATATTACTTAAAGGATCAACTAGTTTTGTTTCATATATTAATTATTACTAGAAACGATCAACGAACCGATGGTTAATCGTTGATGGTTTCACAAGTAAGTAACTTTGGTTTATTAATGCACGGTTGTGGTTAATAAACTTAAGAGGGATTAATTTTGTTGGTTGAACCGAAACCGTTGTGTCAAGGTTATCAATCTCAATTGATTTCATCAAGGAGTTAAGAGATTAAATGCTACTATCAAGTCGGTATATGACGATGTTCTATACTTGACTAATAGTAAGGGTTATTAATGAACGGTCGTTGTTAATAACTACCCTCGATGAATTGGATATACTCCTCGATTGAGTATTTGAGAGGGTATAAGTTATAGATATAACAATGATCGACTAAAATATATCAACAAGTAGAAAGTAGCAATGCCAAGTCCTTTTTATTCTTGAAATAAATCTCATATAAGTCGTTCATCTTCGTGTTTAAATTAATTAAATCACTCAATCAAAAACCCCCTTTATTTACTAGTTACATAAAAAGAGAGTTATTCCTTTCCCTGTGGATACGAACTCTACTTCACCTATACTACGTATAAGTGTTAGTATTGAATATTATTTTGACGCACCGTGACAAAGTGCTCGTCAATTCTATCACAATATTCTATTATTTTCCAATCACTCTCAATTATTTATATTCTCTTTCACAATTCTTAATCTAACTACTTTTGAAATTGGAACTTTTTATGTTACCGAAGGAGTAAATATCAAGATCGAGTTTATAGCGTAAACAAAAAATTAATATACTCCCTCCGTCCCGGAAACAAGTTCCTGAGTCGACTTTCACACATTTTTAGGAAATGAAATTATTGAGGGTTAAATTTTACTATTTTGACACTATTTCAACAATGTTCGGCACTGTTTTGCACTGTATTGATGTAGATAATATGCTAAATAAGGAAGTGAGAAGTTTATTTCGGGACATCCAAATAAGGAAAGTGAGAACTTGTTTTCGGGACGGAGGGAGTAGTACTTTCTCCCTTAAAAGAGGTTCACCATATTGATCAATTTTCATGGTCAATAATAACAAGATTTAGATAATGACTTTAATTATTAATGTGTATATAAAATTTGTAAATGTATACTTTTATCAAGAAAAAAAGGAATACCTTGTCATTATTCCATCAAAGTAATTAATTTTTGGTTTTTCTTATTTATCTCTCCTTGTACAAACATCAGTAACATAATTTTTACATTTCTTAATTCTCACGTAATTTAAATTGTGTAAAGTCCATTGGAACAGAGGTAATATTTGACAATATGCACATGTTTAATTTGAGTGTATTTTACTTTGTTAATGTAATACAGAGGACTCCATCCGTCCCAAATAAATTTTCTAAAATACAAATGACAAACAGATTAAGATAGGGAATATTGTGTGTTCGAGAGTTGTGCAAAAAAGAAAGAAATGTGTAAGAATGTGTCTGAAATGCTATGAACCACAATATTTTTGCAAAAAAAAAAAGAAAAGATGAAATAGATTTGGGACGAACCAAAAAAATATATGTAGATAATTCCGAGAATAGAAGGAAGTAAAATTAAAAATTTTGACAAATATTTTTAAATTCAGAAGTTGACCACTATTTCACCTAGGCAATAGTACACCCTTGGGCCTCGGATGCTGGTACGGCCGTTGGGTCATTTGTTATTAGTTATTACGGTTGGGGAGAAATCTGACAGGCGCGTGGCGTGTGGGCCAGACATGTCCACGTTGCACGTCCTTGTTCCACCGCGTCATCCAAACACGGCCTAATTGACTTTACGAACCGCGCCACTCTTCACAATTCACTATCATCGCGTTACATATAAATTCAGCCGCCATTCCCCATTCGCCCTCCGTTCCAAACCTTCCAAAATTCAAACAAAACATTCCATCTTCCAGATATTCTGGAGGTCAGTTCCAGCGACAGTTCCGAAATGGAGAACACTCCAAACGACGACGCTTCGTCTTCTGCTAATTTCAGGGGAGTTAGGAAAAGGGAGTGGGGGAAATGGGTTTCGGAGATTCGGCTCCCCAATAGCCGGCGCCGGATTTGGCTCGGCTCCTTCGACTCGCCGGTGAAGGCGGCGCGGGCGTTCGACGCCGCCCTTTTCTGTCTCCGCGGGAGGAACGCGAACTTCAACTTCCCCGACAACCCTCCCGACATCGCCGGCGGCAGCGCAATGTCGGTCGACGAAATTAAGGTTGCGGCGACCCATTACGCCAACGCGGAGACCCATCAGGATACCGGGTCGGGTCCCAACCGTGAGAATGTTTCGGATCATTCGACTTCGCTTTCGCCAACTCACTCCATGCATGCTGACTCACCTCCTCAGCCGGGCCCCGGTGGGCCCGAACATGTTGAAGTTGAAATGACACAAGCACCCTTGGACGATGGGTTTCTCCAGCAGTTGGACGCTCCGATTTACAGCTTTAATGGCTATGGTTTCCCACCGTCTTTACCCGAAACCAATTACGACATCGATGATCAGTACGATGGATATGCGTCGCAAGGATCATTTCGTCTCTGGGATTATTGAAGCAACCAATCACATCTTAGAGAAAATTCCCGTTAAACTAATTCCAGTAATACTCAACGAACTCAATATCTCTTCAAATCAGAGATGAATTTTACGCGAGTTCACGAAAAATGGCGAGCCTGACTAATATGTACAGGACTTTCTGTAAATCCAAAAAAAATTGTGCTAAATAAGAGTAAAATATACGAGTATGGATTAGCTATGTTCCGTAAATAGCATTATATGTTTTATATTTTCCTTAAATAAGACTAAACATTATATTTCTACATTTAATGTAATTAATAAATATAACTAATCTCTCTTCCTAACTCCTCATGTGTAATCAGGGCCGTCCGTCAATGGCGGAGCACTCCAGATGCAGTTGCACTACAAAGGTGGCAGTCCAGCCACACACCATTCCAGCGACAACAGCCGATTTCTGGTAGGCTGTTGCGTCCGGTAACCAAGCTTCAATTATGAGTGTATGTATGTTCAATCATAAATAATACTCCTTCGTCCCATTGAAATGAATATGCTTTCCTTCTGGGTGTTTGGTAAATTGTGTTTCATCCAAAAAATAGCCGTTTGACCACTTTTGACATTTTTATGAGTGGACACACTCTTACTGTTTGGTAAATAGCGGTTCGGCACTAGCATTTTAGGACGGAACCGTTGAAATGAAAATGCTGCAAATAGAAGAGATTTGGGTTAGCGTTTTGAGAAATGGCGTTTTGTATTAATTTTATGGTCAAACAGCTAAATTATCAAACATCTTCTGAAACCCGCCAATTTTATTCCGCTCGTCAAACCCGTTGATTGAATTCGCTATTAACAACCCGATAACATAATCCGTTATCCGCTAACCGCTAACCGCTAAATGCCAAACACGCCCTTATGTGCAAGGACGGAGCCAGAAAAACGGCTCGGGGGGGTCGAAAATATCTGAGTAGAAAAACTATTTACAAATGAAAATGGTAGGTCATTTTTAGACAATATCCGAATTGAATGTTTCCTTTGTAGTTTAGATAAATAGGTGCTCGTAGCTATAAGATACATTGTCTTTTCTCTGTTTCTGAATCATGTCACGTACGTAATGAGTTTATTACTTTATTATACATTGTTTTTAAATTTTGGGAAAATAATCAATTTTTTTAGAAGAAAGAAAATAATCAATATGAATCATCAAATTGTAATGATTTTACGTTTACATAGTCCTGATTTTCCAGAGGTCATAAGTTTTTACTCATAATGAGTTACGGGGACCATAATATATCAAATCGAAGATATTTCAATGTTCTAAACTCTCAAATTTCCACCGGGGTCGGCTGACCACCCTGACCCCCCCCCCCCTTGGCTCCACCCCTGCTTATGCGAATGTCCCTTTTAAGAGTTCACATTCTAGTTTGGGTAATAATTTATGTACTTTAGTTACACATTTACTCAATTTTTCCCTACTCATTACATATCAAACCTCACGATTTCTCCCCCCTTCAACTTATTTCCCTTTAATTACTATCACAATATATATTGAAAGAATTACACAAATATAACTACTTTAAACTCCACTAACAAAAATATGACTTTTTGATCTAACTTAATCCCATGATGCCCATACGTGATCCATGCTATAAGTCACTTTCTTGTAACTCTCATGACTTTTGATAATATTCATGTAAAAATCTCATATATGTTTACTTTTTCTAAAAAAATCTTTCATCTCTTTTTTATCAAAATACTTTATTTAACTTGCCTAAAATATCGTGTCAGTTATTCATGGGAATCTTCCAACGAGACGGAGGGAGTAAGTCTTATTTATGTAATCTTAAAGATTCACTCATATGTTCGGAATTTTACTCGCTTCATCTCTTGTAATTTGTCACCTTTCCTTTTTAATTGTCTTAAAAATTTGTCACTTTCTTTATTAATCAATCGATTTATGGTTGTTTTTATTTCTCTTGTCTCTCAAAAAAATCTCAAACACTCGATTTTTACTACGAAGTACATTATTTTCTGCATTGGTGTTCATCCTCAGTGATTTAGAGGAAAACAGAGGCAATATTATTTCGTATGAAGTAACAAAGAAAATTAAACACCAAATGCATTTTATTTTTATATACAAATGTTTGATTTAGAGGGAAACAGAGGCAATATTATTTTTCACATATTCGAAAAAACGAGTTTTACAAAAAATTGACTTATAGTAATAAAAGTAAGAAGGGAAAACTGTCAATTACGCTCTCCTTAATTCTGTGTACCGAAAGTCGATTAAGTTCTTGTACATTAAAACACTGAATTATATCCTCGAAATTTGTGATTTTGGGCGCTATATGTGTAATAATAATAAAAACTAAGGTTTGAGTTATTGTACAGGACCGTTTTTAGTTATTTTTATATATAATATCTTCTTCATTTTATTAATAAAATATTCTGTATATTTTAAATTTAATTTTTGATAAATCAGCATAATTAGTCAATAAAGTCATTTAAGTCCATTGAGACTATTTTATGAAAAGGACCCTTTGTCTTATACTTCCTCCGTCCCGAATTGAGGTCAAAAATTGAACAGCACGGGAATTAAGAAAGAATAGAAATTGGCATTTACTTTCCCATTTTTCCCTTCCTCACCCGGTGTGGACTGGAGGACAAACTTTTGTCAGCAACTTTTTTTAAGTTGGAAAAACGAAACGATTTTTTTAAAGCAGTTCAATTACAACTTTTGTCAGACAGTACGGGATGTCTTACTGTGCTTCTTCTACATGGCTTATATCGAGTAGGAAAAAAAGTGAAACAGGGATTGTTAATTGCCGAAAACCGATCGTTAGCGTCTGATCTCTGTTCGAGAGCATCTCCAACATTTTTGACATATACGTCAAGACTCCAACCGATTGTCCACCGTCTGCCGCTTCAATGGTTCGACCGGCGACACAAGTATTTGGTTCGATGAGGGCAGCAATGACTCATCTGTAAGGTTCTTCGAGGGCGACGGCGCAACGGCGACTCATCTGCAACTTGGTCAACTAAACGTGTCGGATCTGAGGAATTTCAGGCGGAGCCAGAGCTAATAGGACTGTAAGGGAGTTTTAATTTAACGTTGATTTTTCCCCTAAGCTGGAGCCCCCTTCTTTGATTTGTCCCCTAAGCTGGAGCCCCCTTCTTTTCTCCATCTTTATCTTTAAAAGGAAGATGAACATAATCTTGCCATGGAGAAGGTGTGAGACTACATTTACAAAGGTGGTTGTGCTTCATATGGGAAATTGCTAATATGGAAAGAAAAGGGAGTTTTTTTACCAAAAGAGGGTAGTATCCAATCTTATTCCCCAATTAAGGGTACTTTCAGGGGCGGTCCTAGGGGGTGTGCAACAGGGGCGACCACCCTAGGCCCAATAAATTAGGCCCAAGAAATTAGGGGGGGGAATAGGCCCAAAAATATTTCTTTGTATTTAGTGTAAGTAGACAAAAAAAATTACAAAAATAAAATAAAATAAACTATGTAGTGTAAGTAGACTTCTTTTAAAAAAAATAAGCTCAATTAATTGGTTCAAGGTTTAATTTTTAAAATAAATGTAAAGTGGCCCACCTCTCTTAATTCTCTTCGGATCTCTAAGTTTTGTAATCCTTTTAATTACAAAATTATCATGTTATGTTAGGCCTCCCAAGTCCAAAATTCCCAATTCGCAAAGCCCATTCAAATTGTTTAGTTGTTACCAAATTCCAATATCAACAAGAGTAAAGAATGTTGCAAAGCGGTGACTCGGTGAGTGCCTCAGCGGTTTGTTAAAAATTGAAGCCAATCAATCGAGAAACCCAAACGGCAGTCGATGACCAAAAAACTTCTTTCAAGACTTTAAATAATCCATCTGTGATCAATAAATTATTCTTGATAAATTGGTGAATCGGGTTGGGATAAAGAGAGAAATGATACGTTTGTAATTTCCGTATGTTTATTTACGCTTTTAGTTAGTTTTGATTGTTTAATATTTCGGAAATTACACACTTTCGGTGTAATAGTTTAGTTTGTTAAATTCTTGTAATTTGTTTAGATTAGGTTTATTCTGAGCTTAAACAGGTCCAAGATCAATCAAATGATCAATGGTGAAGGAAGGTGCAAGAGTACAAGACAAAAAGAAGGAAAAATCCTGATTTTGGTCTATACTCGATCGAGTATATACATATACTCGATCGGGTATCTGGTTGACATTTCAAATCGGATCGGATCCGAAAACAAAGGAACATGCAGGAGAAGATTTTCCCACGTTCGAGTGTCTATACTCGATCGGGTATGCTTATATACTCGATCGGGTATGCATATAAAATCTACTCGAGTATTGATCGAGTATTGACCAAATTCTGATTTCTATACATACTCGATCGAGTATGTATACATACTCGATCGAGTACTCGATCCTGCACCTCAAAAAGCCTATAAATACACCCCCTTTCCTTCATTTTTAGATACCAATTCATACACACTCTTAAGCTCAGTTTAGAATAGCATTTCTTTATACTTCTTTTAACATGTTTAGTCTCCAAATGAGGAGCTAAACTCCCACATCTTGGTTTTGCTACTTTGAAGCTTAATGAATTTGTAAGTTGTGAGTTATTATCTTTAATCTTCTTCCTTGAATATTAATTCTTTCTTTAAATACTATTTCTATATCAATGTTGGGGAGTGTTACTAAGATGACAATTAGTTAACATCTTGACATTAGTTATAGTAATAGTTATTTCTTCCTCTACGTTAATATCGGGGAGTGTTACTAAGATGACAATTAGTTAACATCTTGATATTAACTATAGTAGGATTCATCTTCTTTAATATTCTTTCTTGAGTATTAATTACTTCCTGTTCATATTTCATATTAATATTTTGAACATTACTTAAAGGATCAACTAGTTTTGTTTCATATATTAATTAATACTAGAATCGGTCGATTAATACGCTTGTTATTAATTCGGTCCTTTCATGGTAGTAAACTTGGATTATTAATGCATGCATCTCATGGTTAATAATCGAAGGGGAATTAATTATATTGATTAAACCAATAAACCGCTTGTGTTGAGGTTATCAATCTCAATCGTTTTCATCTTAAGTTTATTGCTACTATCAAGTTAATATACGGCGCTTGTTCTATATTAACTCGATAGTAAGTTTTATTAATGAACGCTTCTCGTTATTAATAACTACCCTCGATGAACTGGATATACTCCTCGATTGAGTATTCGAGAGGAAGATAGTTAAAGATATAACCGGGATCGACGAACATTTCATTAAGTAGATAAAAGCAAAACCAAGTCTTCTTCTCATTAATTAAACCACATAACTCGTTCATCTTCGTGTTCAATTTTA